GTCGTGTCGGAAAGTGTTATCAGGGAGGGAACTTGTGAACAAGGAATACACCGAAGAGCCTTCCAGGGAACCTAACGCATGTGCACTGATGCATCGTGATGAAGCATGTCGCGAGGGGTTAGTGCCAAATTGAATGACGTCACCACTAATGATCATAATCTTGCTTGGTGTGGCTTCAAGCAATCTGAACAAACATATTGCTTCAGAATCATGGCTGAACTCCCTCCTCGAAGAGAGGGGTGACCCAGACTTGACATGCTGCCATCGCTTGTTTGAGAACGGTGATGTGTTCTCTCGGGACAGCAATGTGAAGAATATATGCACACTTTCACGCCTAGAACTTGCAGACTGCACCCAGAGTATTTGAGGGGGTAAATGCAAAGCGTGTTGTTTTTGGGCATGTTGCTGCATGTAGCGACCTGATCACGGAAGTTGTGTATACTATACGAACATCAATCTTAGACACATATAAGGCCTTCGCTTCCAAATGTTGTTGTTTCTCACGAACGGACAGGACAGGTTAGGATAAACTCCGCTTTGGTTTAGAGACAGAGACACCCAACCCGAACTCTACAACCTCCAACCCCAAGTATTGATAGTCCTCAGTTCGCCCAGAGACGTTGCGTGCTACTTTTGCTAGACAAAGTCAATCAAGAAGCATAGACGCTAGCTGGCGACGGGTTTGTCAAGCCCACACCCAAGTCAGCAAGCATTTAATGTTGGCTGTTGGTAAGGGCCCCTAGAAGCAACTATCCATCCTCATCCAGTGCTAGTGCTGGGCGTTTTGGCAAAGATATGATTATTAATTATTAAGCCTACTAGGCCTGTTGGTGGTTGTGGTTGTGGATGTTGTTGTTGTTGGTAGAAACAAAAACAGCCGCCCAACATAATTGTCACATGTTGTAACTTTAGAACTTCAAGGGGACAAGGTTAGGGATACGGTTGAAGGTTTGAGCGAATGTTGGTTTCGTAAGTAGGTGGACCTTATTGGACTTGTTTCACTGAAGTCTGGGCTGGTCCGTTTTTAGTGTTTTTGAGGTGTTGTTCTGCGGGGGGGTCCAAAAACAACAACGGGGCTGCAGTTTTTGTTCGTAGGATGTGGTAGAGGTTCTAAGTAGAAGTTGTGCAGAGGCTTAGCTGACTGGCTACTAGTACTACTACTACTACTATTACTACTACTACTACCACTACTACTACTACTACCACTACTACTACTACGACTACTACGACTACTACGACTACTACTACTACTACTACTACTACTACTACTACTATCTACTACTACTACTACCATGACTAGTACTACTATCTACTACTACTACTACTACTACTACTACTACTACTACTACTACTACTACTACTATCTACAACTACCGCTACTACTACCACGACTAGTACTACTAGTACTACTACTACTACTGCCACCACTACTACTACTCCTCCTCCTACGACTAACTACGACAACGGTACAAGCACTACCACTACTCGTAAAAGGACTTGTTGGCTGGTTGCTTTTGGGGGGGGTCCAAACAACAACGACGGGGCTGCAGAGTTTGTGTCCACCCCCTTGTAGAGTCTAAGAGACAAAGGAACAAGATATGTTGTAACGGCGCTGCAGTTTTTGTTTGTACTCGTACCTTGTTGTGTTGTTGTTGTTGTTGTTGTCGTCTTGAATTGGGTTGTCAGGACAGAAAGGTTGCCGCAATGCTGCTGCGCAGCGCCCGCACAAAGGTTTGCTGCAAGACGCCTGGATTTGCGCGAAAGCATGTTAAGGTCACAGGAGTCATAACACCATTCCTTACCGTAAAACATGTTGAGCTGAGAAGGCCACCTCTAAAGCTTCACAATGAGAATTGGAACAATGACAGCTCAATCAGCCGCTTCAGTGACAGGGCACTCGAATAGTCTTGCTGATGGAGATAAAGATCAGCGATAGCAAATTGCAATACAAGTTGGTGCAATTTCACCATGGAGTCATTTGCCTTTGTTTGGCATCAGTTCAAGTGCTAAAGTGGCCACTTGTTGCCGCGGGCAGGTTGAGGAAGCAGAAGAGAAGGGCCTGACTGAACCCATGCCATGTTTTGAATGACATGTGGAGAATATGGTAAATTTGCATAGGTAAAGACGAGGGCGAGAATGATTGGCCTGCATAAAGTTTTTGCCATTGCAAGCTGCAGGCTCCTTGCTCACGTTTCTAGATGTTCCTGCTCTATCAGTTTAGGGCGTCTCGATGTGAAGTTTACATCACATGTTGCTTGCATCTATGTGAAGGTTTTGTATGTTTTGTTTGATGTTTTTTTTTTTGGCACTTCTCCCTCGTTTGTGACCGAATCTAGCAATTGGCCCACTTGGCCCACTTTGTCACGAAGTCCTGGACACAGACCTGAAGCAGCACCAAGCATAGTGATGACATCCAACCTACAAGCGATGGCCTCCAACCTAGAAGCAAATGCCTCCAACCTAATAACCACCAAAAACTTGCACAAATAATATCCAAGCTTGAGCTAAGTATGTCTTTCTCGACGGCGTTGAGTAGATCCTGACATTGCGCAAATGGGACGATGGGAACGACAAGAACGAACTTTGACCATTTGCGTGTTCTTTTTGATTTTCGGTTCTCGCTTTGTTCATTCGTTTTGGGCACCGTTCCTACCCCCGAACGGCCCAACCTCTAGTCACTCGGTCCGTTAGGACCGTTTTCCCAAAGTGGATTACACACCATATGGATTAGACAGATTGTTTGTATTGTTTTTAGGCCCACCGGGCTTCAGAACAGCAAATGTTTCTTGTTGTCTTGCTGATGTCCCAAGACATGATAAGAATATTCCAGAAAACTTGAAACGCGATGCCCGCAGCACAAAGAAACTTTGAAGGCCTGAGCCCAAAAAGAACAAAGGTAGGCAAGGCTAATCGCAGAATCAGAATGTCCTGTTAGCAACTTACTGAATGAAATAGAAGGCCAGCATCAGCACATCTTAAGAGTTTTGGAGTTTTGAGCAGAACTTGCCTGGCAATGGCCAGGCCTACCTTGAAGAGGAGGCTCATTTGGACATGCGTGTCAACAAGCGTTGCTTGGTGGACATGCAGGCATGAGAAAGGAACGAAGCTCATGTTGATCTAAGCTAAGCCCTGTGCTTTGAGTCCAGATCAAGTAGTTAATGACACCCTATAGCTACTATTCTATGCTATTCTAAAGGTATATTGTGTATTGCATGCCGTTTTCGTGTAGCCATGCGTAGCCTGGGTGCCTGAGTTTCAGCCGAGGCTTGCTGGCAGGTGAAGTGTCGCAAGCTCGTAGCTTCAACAAGCATCTTGGATCCATATAAATGGGTCTCAATGTTGGTGCTTGCAGCCTCCTGTTATATATTCTTACGGTCCCCAGATCTAGGCAATGTGTCGGCTATAGTTCTGTTTTTGTGATTATTTATATATAGTTTCCGTTGTTTTATTTGAATGGAGCTTGCTAGGAAAGCCTTGGTGCTTGAGCGTTGCTGTGTGTGTGTGTTCCTTCTGTGCGCTCTTTCGGCCGCTGTTGCTTCTGGCTTTTGTTGTTTTCCCTTTGGCTCCGCTGTCATTTAGTAAGCAGCCATGACACAAAACATGCAAGACATGTTCCAACTCCTGTCAGATGGATGTAAGTGGACTCCGCAGATATAAATACATGTATGAATACCACAGTTCAACTGGCGATGAGCTGCTAATTTTGATTCCTTTGGCTCCAAAGAGTCGTGATTGGCCATTCACCAGAGCTTTTCCTTGCTCCTTAGGCGAGCGGGTGTTGAGCCTCTTCCAGCGGTTGTGCAGCCCTGCGGCCAAGACAGATTGTGTCGAAATGTGTCGAAGTCTATGACCGAGAGGGGTTGGTTTCGGATGGTTCCTGTGGGTAGTGACTATGGTGCAGCGACGTTTTCAGGGAGACAGCGCCCCTGACGTTGCAAGAGCGAGAGGCCCTGCGCATTGCTTCTTGCAGAAGCTGTCCAATTATGTGGCAGACAGAGCGGATATATATGCGAAAGCATTTATGATCTTAGCCCCTTGCAATTCCTTGACAATTGAAAGTCCTGAACCGGCGAAAATCCTGTTCGAGAAATGCAGCATAACAGCTGGGTTTCGGAAAGTGGTCATTTGTCTAGACTTCTAGATGGCTTGGGGCAGCGACTGGGGCCAGCACTTTGTCCAATAGATGTGCAGCAAACATGTATGTCTGAATCTTGACTTTGTCTCATGTCACATGTCCTACCTTCCCCAATTGCAAAAAGAGCGGCACTGGTGTGCATGCGTGAGGCAAAGGCGCTGGAGCTGGAGTATGTGAGAAGCTCGCGTTGCTCTCAGCTTGCCATCGGGCGAGTCGCGGCCACAAAAGTGCTTCCTGCCTCGTGGTTGTCTTAGTGAGTTTCAATGCGCCTACAGCGGATCAAAGCACATCGCATCCATCTCCCGGCTCAACGCGGGGGGGCCCTGAGGCATCGTTTGCGCGGCACCAACGGCAGCACCGCCAACATTGCAGCACCGCTGCGCAAGAAGCAGCGCCAAGAACTTGGTTCCGACTCGGGAGCTCAGAGCTTTGCCGATCTTTGGCGTGCCACGTCGTGCCACGATTGACCCAGATATACATATATATATATACACATAAATATGCAATAATATACATATCTATATATACATATGATATCTGCATTTCTCATCCGGTCCCCAAAGAAAGAAGGACAAGAAATCATTCTTGGGGTTCCTTTCCTTCAAAGTTTGCTTGATTTGGCATTCGCTGCAATTCTAATTGTACGGGCTACTGTAGTCCTCAGAGTCCATCTCGCCTGCCTAGGTGTGGGCACCCAAGGGGAACTCTTGGACTTGGCCAGAAGCTCAGTGCCCTGCCGTCATCCAGTAGCTTGGCGGTTTTGGCCAATATATCCAACAAACCTGTGCCTCACCTGGTTTTGGTAAAGGCCATTACTATTATGTTGGAGGCCAAGTCAGTTGTTTTTTGGAAATTAGTTGCCCGCAGCCGCTGGCCGCTGAAGTGGCAGGCTCAAACCATGATGTTGTAATTAAAGGAGACCATGTTGGGATGTACCCCGGGCAATGGTATGCTTATGGTTGGCATGGGGCCTTTTGCTGACGTGTTGTGCAGTGTGTCAAAAACCGTCCACGATGGCTACTAGCAGCAGCAACATGAGGACCTGTGGTGACAGCTCTGCGCTGCTTCAAACCACAGCCCATGAAATGCTTGCAGAAGATTCCTTTCGAAATACCTGCAGAACGTCTGACATCAACAGCGGCAAGTGCGTTTCCTGGCTCAGCTTTGCGTGAGTTCTTTCTTCATTTGGATGTGTGTAGGCCCCTGTCCAGAGGCGGCTTGCACTGGGTCAGGTTAGCAGCGTTATACAAAAAGTCCCACATCATTCAGGACTAGCTGGCACAGACTATACAGTGGCCCCCAAAAAGATAGAACCGGTTTCCAACACATGAAATAGATTTTATATACTTATCTATTTGGGTTCTTTGGGGGGTCTACAATTAAGTTCTTCACTGGTCAATGATGTGCAACCCATGGAGCTTGTTTGTCCGAACTTTGTTGCAGTTTGCAGCCGCACGTCCAAGGTTGGCAACGAAACGTGCTTCAATTGCAACTCCAATCACAACGAGAAAGCATTTCCCACCAATGCACCTCGGTTCCCAGCCGGGCGTTTGCTTTGCAGGGGCGAAAGTGGAACCACTTGCCAAATGGTGGAGAGTGATACCATTGTTTTCAAGGATTCTGGAGACTACTTAGCATGCGAAGGACTGGGGATCTGCAGAAACGCTTGGAATGTACAGAATGCAGGTGCAGCTTGCTGCGTGGGCGTCAGAGATCCCACAGAAGGTCAGACGTGCGTCGGCACAACCATCAGCTTAGCTGTGGATGGGCCGTGCGAGCATGACATGTGCTGTGACGGCAACCAGGTTTGCACCCAGTCAACATTTACTGGTCTTGGCAGCCTCAGCTGCAGAGGACACGAAACTTGCACCAACATCACTGCTGAGCTGCAACGGGATTTATACTGCAATGTTACTTCCATTGTTGCATCTCAACAGTCGCGGTCCTCGAACACGTGCGGTGCATTTGGAAGAATCACTACTTCATTCATTTTTGTCACAGGAGGTCCTCATGTCATAGATTGCCTTGGAAATGAAGTATGTCGAGGGTCAACCTTCGATTTTGCCTCCAATTCCTCGATCTCCTTCGAATGCGACTCGAAGGCTCCAGGCACTCCTTCATTTGGCGCCAACGCTTGCAGGGGCTCAAAGACCAAGGTCACATTGAAACCTGGCTGTTGGGCAAGTATTCAGTGTTCTTTTAAGCAGTTCTCTCAAAATAACTTGTACAGTGGTAGCATGTGGTAGCAGTTTTAGAGAGACCCCTTTTGGCGATGAGCCCAGGAAGGGAGACACTTGCTTGGACTTGATCTGTGGTGGAAGCAATGTCGACAGCCAGGATTGCAGATCAATGACCATCAGTTTAACTTCCAGCGATCGGTGCTTCTATCAGGGACCGCCTGACAATAGACCCGCACAGTGCAACGAAACCAATTCCAGCCAGTGTGGCGCTATTCCTCGTGATGATATTTGCTGTGCCGAGGGAAGTGAATCGGACAGTTGTGGTGAGTGCTGCCCCCAAGTTACAACCACCAGCACTCAGCCAGATATAACAACCACAACCACAAGAAAAGTCACAACAACCACCAAAACGACAACACGAAAGCCATACAACTACTTCCGTCGAACTCGTCGAACTCGTAGGGAGCATCGGCGTGAACATCGACGGCATCGACGCTGGGATCGAAGGCATGGACGGCAATACCGCTACTATAGTGGCCAATACCGCTACGACAGCCAGCCAAATGGCCAAGGCCGCTATGACAACGAGCCAAGGAGCCGCTTTAGGAGCGGCAGGCAAGGAATCGTGCGAAGATCACTGCAACAATGGCCATGAGTTGCAAATGTCAACAACAGAACTTTGTTGCATGTAAGCGTGACGCAAATGAACCGTCGCCTTAATGAGTACTGGTTTAGTTAAATCCAAGTGTGCTAGAAATCTTGGAAACTACAAAAAAGGTACCCGCTTTCAATGTGTGTGTGATTTTGGCGCACGCATATGTTGTGTTTCTTTCAATTTCTTTTGCGGACAAGCTCGGAAAGACATCCTGGCTGGCAAAATTTTGGCACACAAGTGCGAAGCAGGCAAGAAGACCTGTCCTACATGTGCAGCTGTTCAAAAAAAGGTGGATTCAACGTTCATCCCATTGAATTTTGTTGTATGGAAGTTTGGTTGCTTGATTTTCTTGGACAAATGCCAGCACGTGAAATATGAGGAAGTTTGACTCACAATCATAGCTGATGTGTTCAGCAGCGGCTTGGGTGGTGGTGTTTGGATGCATGATGTCCACATTAGTGCAGAGGTTAGTTTCTTGATTGTCATAATTACACACCGGCGACCAGGCTGCCTTAGAGAGAGAAGCCAGAAGACAAGCTGATGAGGATGTGGCCGAGAGCATAGACACGACAGTTTTCTTGAACAGTGTCAAACTTATCGACATGATGCTGTGCGTGCTGTCGTTCACAAAACGCAGGGGTGCACAAGCTTGAACAAGCAAGCAAGCAAGCAAGCAAGCAAAATCTGAACGTTTCCACAGACATTCACGAGAACTTCGGCATTGCACGATCAACTCAAGGCACTAGTGAATCCTGTCCTGCGGCCTCCACCAAAGCTGGTGAAACGGATTGTCAGCCCGTCAACTTTAGCGGTTATCGATTTTTGCACCCCGCTTTTTCATGATTGAATTTGAAGGGGCCTTCAACTTTGTTTTAGCCTGGAAGCATGTCAATTGCAATTGGGTTAGGTGAAAAAGCGCCTTGAATCAACTCACCCAATATCTGTGGAGCGAGCCAGGCAGTCAAAATTAACCGCTAAATACAAATTCATATGTACAACAAAATAAATGAAATGAATATATTATTATTACAAATTCAAAAATTCTAAATCGATAAAACATGATAAAACATTTATGCCCATATGCATTTTCCTCCCAATAAAGGATGATGTTCTTTGAGATTGATTTTGTTTATGTTATGTATTATATGTTGATATTAAATATTGTAAGAATTAATATATGAATAATATGTATATTAAATGAATTTTATATGTTTTGAAAATATGTTTAATAATTTATGTTGATTATTATTTAATTATATATATTTATATATAATATAATATGGTTATAATTAATTATTTTGATTACAAATTCTTTATTAATATAATAATAATATTAATTAAATAGAATATATAATTTTGATAAGAATAATAATAATATTATATAATTTAAATAATTATTAATATTAATAATATATATAAATATTTATATTTAATAAAAAAATATAAATTACGATAATTCTTATTTTTATTAAGGAAATAAAAATGAACAAAATTTTTATATTACGAATATTGAAAAATTATAATTATATATTATTTTTTATATATTATTCATTATATTTTATTTATTACTTAATTAATGTTTTTTGTAAGAATTGCAAGAGTTATTTATTCGTTGCAAGAATTTTAGTTGTAGGTAGTTCTAATTTCAATAGCTTTAGTTCTAAATTTTACTTCTAATTTACGTGGCAGGCGCAATATTTTGTGAACCTCTATGTGCAGATTGCGTGATAGGTACAGCACTTCGTGAAGCTCTATGTGTAGCTTTCGTGGCAGGCACAGCACTTTATGAACCTCTATATGCAGATTTCGTGGGAGGCATAGCACTTTATGAACCTCTATATGCACATTTCGTGGCAGTCCGTGTGCAGATTTCGTGGCAGGCATAGCACTTTGTGAATCTGCAGATTTCGTGGCAGGCAAAGCATTTTGTGAACCTCCATGCGCAGATTTCGTGGCAGGTGCAGCACTTTGTGAACCTCTATGCGCAGATTTCGTCGCAGGTGCATCACTTTGGGAACCTCCATGTGCAGAAAACGTGGCAGGCACAGCATTTTGTGAACTTCCATGTGCAGATTTCGTGGTAGGCACAGCACTTTGTGAACCTCCATGTGCACAGCACTTTGTGAACCTCCATGTGCAGATTTCGTGGCAGGCACAGCACTTCGTGAACCTCCATGTGCAGCTTTCATGGCAGGCACAACACTTTATGAACCTCCATATGCAGATTTCGTGGCAGGCACACAACACTTTGTGAACCTCCATGTGCAGATTTCGTGGCAGGCACAGCATTTTGTGAACCTTCATGTGCAGATTTCGTGGCAGGCACAGCACTTCGTGAACCTCCATGTGCAGCTTTCATGGCAGGCACAACACTTTATGAACCTCCATATGCAGATTTCGTGGCAGGCACAACACTTTGTGAATTTCCATGTGCAGATTTCGTGGTAGGCACAGCACTTTGGGAACCTCCATGTGCAGAATTCGTGGCAGGCACAGCACTTTGTGAACCTCCATGTGCAGATTTCGTGGCAGGCACAGCACTTCGTGAACCTCCATGTGCAGCTTTCGTGGCAGGCACAGCACTTTATGAACCTCCATATGCAGATTTCGTGGCAGGCACAGCACTGTGTGAACCTCGAGGCACAGATTTCGTGGCAGGCATAGCACTTTATGAACCTCCATGTGCAGATTTCGTGGCAGGCACAGCATTTTGTGAACCTCCATGTGCAGATTTCGTGGCAGGTGCAGCACTTTGTGAACCTCCATGTGCAGATTTCGTGGTAGGCACAGGATTTTGAACACCTCCATGTGCAGATTTCGTGGCAGGTGCAGCACTTTGTGAACCTCTATGCGCAGATTTCGTGGCAGGCGCAGCACTTTGGGAACCTCCATGTGCAGATTTCGTGGCAGGCACAGCACTTTGTGACCTCTATGTGCAGATTTCGTGGCAGGCACAGCACGGTGTGAACCTCCATGTGCAGATTTTGTGGCAGGCACAGCACTTTGTGACCTCTATGTGTAGATTTCGTGGCAGGCACAGCACTGTGTGAACTTTGTAGTACAACTTTAGTACCCGGAATATCTGGGGAGCTGGAAGATGAGAATTGGTGATTTTGTAGTACAATTTTAGTACGCGGAGCAATCTGTGGAGCTGGAAGTTGAGAACTAGCGACTTTGGAATACAACTTTAGTACGCGGAGTATTTGGGGAATTGGAAGATGAGGATTGGCAATTTTCTTGTATAACTTTCGCTGGAAGTTGAGAACTGGCGACTTTGTAATACAACTTTAGTACGCGGAATATCTGGGGAGTTGGAAGATGCGAATTGGCGACTTTTTAGTACAACTTTAATACGCGGAGCAATCTGTGGAGCTAGAAACTGAGAACTGGCGATTTTGTAGTACAACTTTAGAACGCGGAGTATCTGGGGAGTTGGAAGATGAGAATTGGCGGCTTTATAGTACAACTTTAGTACGCGGAGCATCTGGGAAGCTGGAAGATGAGAACTGGCGACCTTGTACTATAATTTTAGTACGCGGAGTATCTGGGGAATTGGAAGATGAGAATTAGCGACTTTGTAGTACAACTATAAAACGCGGAATATCTGGCGAGCTAGAAGACGAGAATTAGCGACTTTCTAGTATAACTTTAGTACGCGCAGTATCTGGTGAGCTAGAAGATAAGAACTGGCGATTTTGTAGTACAACTTTAGAACGTGGAGTATCTGGGGAGCTGGAAGATGAGAATTGGCGACTTTATAGTACAACTTTAGTACGCGGAGCATCTGGGAAGTTGGAAAATGAGAACTGGCGACCTTGTACTATAACTTTAGTACGCGGAATATTTGGGGAACTGGAAGATGAGAATTGGCGACTTTGTAGTACAACTTTAATACGCGGAGTATCTGGGGAGCTGGAAGACGAGAAGTAGTGATTTTCTAGTATAATTTTAGTACGCGGAATATCTGGGGAGCTAGAAGATAAGAACTGGCGATTTTCTAGTACAACTTTAGTACGCGGAGCAATCTGTGGTGCTGGAAGCTGAGAACTGGTGACTTTGTAATATAACTTTAGTATGCGGAGTATCTGGGGAATTGGAAGATGAGAATGGGCGATTTTGTAGTACAACTTTAGTACGCGGGGCAATCTGTGGAGCTGGAGGCTGAGAATTGGCAACTTTGTACTACAACTTTAGTACGCGGAATATCTGGGGAGCTGGAAGATGAGAATTGGCGACTTTGTAGTACAACTTTAGTACGCGGCTGAGTCATCTCTATTTTGTATTTTGCAAAATGCATGAACAACGTTTTTTCCTGCGAGACAGTTGACGGTGGTTGCTTCTCTTTCGCTCCATTGGTCGATTCAAATTTATTTTGTCAAAGAACATCGCAGCTCGGCGAATCAGCCTGCCACATGCCCTTTTCCTATAGATTTATTCTTTTGGAAATTTCCGCCGCCGGCTTGCCCGGGAACTGCTTGTCTTAATTCACATATAATAAGAATTTAATATTGATTGAGAATATTATAGATTTAAAAATTCATCAATAAAACTAAATATTTAAAATTCATATTTATAATAATATATTCCGTTTTTTAACCTGCTACCAATTCAACCGATTATTATTGATTAATATGTGTTATGAACCAACTATTTCTCCCAACAAATTGTTACCAAAAATTGCCACTAATAAATTAGTATTAATCAATTAACATCAACCAAGAATTTGTTTGTTAATTGTCTTCTCCAACGTCACGGATATATGTCCTAGCGTTGGTTGGGGTTGTTGGGTCTCTGCCGTTGTGATTTGTCGGCGTGGTATTCAAAAAATATAGGTTTTACAAGGGTGGTGTCGGTAATGCCCGCCGTGCGGACATATATAATCGGATATTTTTTGATGATGGGCCCGTATCAATATACATGGCACAAAATGTACCCCAAGACTACCCAATAGAGGCCCCCAAGATGGGGTAATATAGCCCCAAGATGGGCTAACATAGGTCCAAGATGGTCCAACATAGGGGCCAAGAGGGGCCTAACATAGGCCCCAAAGGGACAACATAGGACCAAGATGGGCCAACATGGGCCCAAGCTGGCCCCATAGGACCAAGCTAGGTCAAGATGTGCCAACAACAACAACAATAACACACCAATTATAGTACCGAACAACCCTACTGGCTGGTACTGGCCTGCGCTGGTGATTGCCTTTCTGAAAGTGTTATTTTTGAGAACCAATTTATTTTTAAGAATGATTCCTAATCAATGTCACACCGACCAATTGTCACCCACTAATTGTCACCAAC